GTCCTTGAGTTGATTAAGTGTGAAAAAGTTACCACTTACGTGTATAAGCAATTGCAATATGAAATTCTGAATCATGGTTGCTTCGGGATGGGCATTTTTCGGTCATTGCTGATTATGAAAAGTTTCATATATACCAAGAAATAATCAGCTGTGAAGTTTATCTTGTCTACTTTGCGGTGCTGAGCTGTAAAATTTGCTTATTTGAAGTAATCATGGGATTTACTTTCTGATTTAGAAGTGAGTCATCGCAGTCACAGGTTTCATTGAAATTATGTATGAATTGATAAGCAAATAAAAAGTTGAGAAGTTTTTCTAATTTATTTTTAATTCCAAGTACCAATCAATGTGTGGTTGTTTTGTCTCTGGATGATCGACCCATACCGAATGCGTTATGTTTGTGTTTAATAATTTTTTATTATTATAATAATTTTATTATTTTTAACAAACAACTGATAATTAAACTGTAAATTTTATAGAAAAAATAAAAATAAAATGTGGAGGTTAGTTCTAATTTTCGCTTTATTGGTTCTGGCGCTGGATCGCATTCCGGTACTCTGGCAGTACTTGTACCGCGTTCAGATTTGTTGTACTCGTCGTTCTCGCTTCGTCCTCGTGGAATCCATATCGACTGTCGAGAAGACCGTACTTCTTGCAGAGTCCCAAGTGAATGCATTGTAATACTTCATTGTGTCTTCTAGGATAGTCGTGATGCAACATTTTTTCGCACTGCGTCGCTACATACTCCACTGTCTTCACACGTTCCGCACAATGTTGGCACATACCTTTCTCACCTCCAAACATATTTCTATCTGGGAGATAACAGTATCGTACTTCATCTTGCGGCCGTTTTGAGGAATCAACTATGAACGAGATTTCATTCGTCCGCATCTTGTATAGCTTTGCATGGTGGGTTTCCTTTTCTATTTCGCTATACAAGAACGCTTTCTGGTCTGGTAATACGTTTTTAACGGTAGGATTTTCTGCGAGGTTGTACTTAGTCTTTAGATAGAATACAATAATTGCCAGGTACGTGTTATGAGCTTTCTCCTGCTTCAGACTCGTTGCCCTTCGGGTACAAATGATTGCGGTATCTACAAGAACATTATGTAGTTTGGAGAAGCATAAGCTCACTCTTCTGCTCAACATAATGAAGTCCACGTCCTAGCTCGTCCTTTGGCAGGTGCAGTCTTTCCAAGCATGCAAGTTACTTGTCGGTTCCGTATTTGATTAGTAATTGTCTGATATCGAAGTCTTCCGGCTCCAGCTTGAGCACCCCGACGTGATAATTTGTTAGGCTTATTGAGTAATCATTCACAGCTTTGCTAAAGTTCTTGCCAACTAGCGCTGTTTTGGCTAAGCGCTCAATTCTCACTAAAATCTCTGCACGAACTTTATGATAGCTTTCACGGTAGGTGTTTATAGTAAAAAACAAGTATATTCTGTACAACTTGGTATTTTGCTAATTAAAGATTTTGAATTTCATTTGTGGGAAATTGTAAAATGTATTAGTTTTTGAACGTGTGCAAAAAAAAGCTCAGAAGTTTAACAAATATTATACTTCTGATAGCAAAAATTTTTTACAGAGAAGACGACCGAAAAAGACATGGAAGCAGGAGACAGATGTATACACTGGTTTGGAGAAAGTATTATTATTTTTTTTGTTTGCAGTATGTTATTTGATGAAAATCTCTTATTGCTTTACTTGTGAATTATGACTGTATTTTGTGTAATTATTCTTCTACGCTTAATTCTTCAAACGTGTTCAAAAAGTTCACTTCATTGGCTATAAATTAACACGTGATTTGCAGTCTGATCGTGAGTTACCTCCATCGAATTCGTTAAGCGATGGAAAAATAAGAAATTTAAGGTTTTTTTTTGAAATACAAATTAATAATATCTGATATGTGGCAGGTATAAGAATTTTTTTTCACGCAATACTTTTATTCATTTGTAATCGGGTACATGAACACTACTTTTATGCAGCTCATAGACTTTATACTTATATTTTTTCTTATTGGTGCTTTATTTTACATATTGCAGTTTAACTGTTTTAGATCAGACGAATCTGACAATCCATATCGACATCTTTATCGCGTAAATTTTAAGTTTTCCATAATTTTATACTGCACATAGATAATCTGAATGTGAATGCATACTTACAGTTATTTTATTTTTAAGCTCAAAAAATCTGTTTTACAGACTGGACCATATGTATCTTCAAGTGAATTTGCTGCGCAGCCACTACCTGGAGGGGTATTTGTAGTTAAAATTTTTTATCGCAAACACTTAATATTTTTGTCACAAGGAAACTAAAAATAAAAAATGAGGAATAGAAGTAGTTAATTTTCTGTTTTTCAATTACCATCTTCTAACTTTAGCCATTGCCAGTTCCAAGTATTGTATTCGAAATCGAGCAAGAGCCAACGAGAACATGGTACTATTGCCGTTGGACAGTTTACTGGATTTTATGGTTAATAACACTTATTCTGGTCTATTTCCTCATTTTTCGTTCATATTACTGTCCACTATTGGTTGAATAATAAATGATAAGGGTCTAAATAGTTGGTACTTCTACTGTTGGTAGCAAATATGCATCTCCTCATTTTAATAAGCATTTGGAAGATATGAATCACATGTGACATGTAAAGTGTAAAGGGAATTTGAAAGTAAGATCTTCTTTTCAAAAACAAGCGTCGTAGTCACTACTAGTAATTACGAGTTCTTCATTACTTGGAAAAGTTGAAGTGAATATTCACAAACTATGATGTCTCAAAACCCGTCTGAAAAATTCCAGAATAGTCGTCTTACATATTCAGCAAAATTTCTTTCCGAAAAATTGGAGCTTATCCATACTACTCACACTTCGATGTATATCGGAACTCATATATGTTTAAATAATAACAATGATTAAAAAATGCTAATAATTGTAATGAATAAAAACTAATAAGGGTACGGTGTGTATGAAAGCAAGTAAATTTTTCCTTTATTAAAAATATCAAAAACAAAATGAGGAGGGCATCATCACAGCAAGCAATAGAGCATCACTTAATAAGAGAATCAGGAAGACGAAATGAAATATATCCACATACATAAGGATTAATCAATTTAGTAATCGGTCAATTATGTACTCGTACATATTTGGTTTCAACAATGCGAGAGTAAACAACAAAAAATGGTGTCTCAAGTTTTACCCAAATACAACTTTTACTTATCTGCAACAGCTAGTGAGAAGCCACTGTTAAATACCGATTTTCAAAATAGCAAATTTACAAGCCAAAAATAACATTACTGCATGAGTATAAAAAAGGAGTAAATGAATAAGTAAGCAAGTGAGCACACAGTATGCGCATGAACTCACTCTGCATGAGATTATTTGCTTTTACGCACTACAATTACTACTAACTAATTAGAGTTAGTAATTATTACAGTATTGAAACAAGCTGGATGATTGTTGAAAAGATAACCTGAGAAGTAACATAGAGCAGAGGAGGAGAAGGCCTGCCAAAAAGGGAAGCCCATGGAGGCTTGAAAGATTTATTTGTTTAACAATTCTAGTCCGAAAGAATGATAAGCTCTAAAGACAGAACCTTGTACACATTCTACACCATCAGCACTATCACAATAAATCAGAACCGAAGTAAAGTTCATCACCCCACCTGGGTAAGGAAAGTTAACGCGAGAGCAATACTCAACAATAGTGATACAACGTAATATCCCACAAATCAACGCCATCACTACTACTATTCAGTGCCGCGCCTTTCTGTATCATAGCTTCGGCAAGAACAAAAAAGGCGATACCCAAAGGAAGCCAACTAGCTTAAGAGTGAGATCACCAATTACTTTTTTCCTTCTCAATGCAAAAAAAGAAAGGATGAAAAACAACCTGCAATGATTAAACTGGAAAATAGCAAATAATGATAGATAGACAGATATATATATATATATATATAAGTATATGCATTTGTATATGTATATGTATATGTATAAAAGAAAAACGAAATATTACGATGGCTGACGAGTTCACATTAGAGCACACAATTAATAATAGAACAATAATAATGGGTGAAGGTTGAGAAGCATTGATGAGCACTTGCAGATGGAGTTGTTTTTGCCACTAAAATGATAAATAAAAAAAGATCATGCAGTGATCACAGAGATGATAAGGACTATTAACGATAAAAAATGACAAGAATCAGTGCAGCCCAGTATAACAAAAAAGTAGCAAGAATTATGCAAATGAATGAATAAATTAATGGATGAATTAATTAATGGTACGCTGAGAGTATAGAATGGCGCAAATGACCAAGGAATACCCGAAATAAAGAGAACCGACTTTTCCTCTGATAAAAAAAATCATCAAAATGCAAGACAACCATACCACGGTAGCTTTGAAAGACGACTGATGATTTGTTCTATTCAGAGTAGATATATAAACATTATGATATTAGTCCGGAACTAAAACAAATAAGAATCATTGCTTTACAGCAAAGTGATAAATAATCCTGCAAGTGAGATCGCAACAAATAAATCTGAATCTAAATGATTAGCATCAGTATAATCTTAAAGAAAAAACCAATCATCTCAAAGCTATCGCATGTGCAAAGTATGAAATAAGCGATTGATGGCATGCAAGTAAAAACTTTGCTTTCACCCTTTAAGTTTCTGATAATGTGAGAAACAAAATAAAAAGATAAAAAATAGACAAGTGGTCATAATCACATAAAAGCTGCTGTTACTACAAATGAAGATATTAATTAAACAAGTTTCCTCAACATTCCTGATAAATCCGTATTGTCAGGCCATCATATCAAAATCAAAATGCCAACGATATTCAAATCAGTTACGAAAAACAAACAGATAAATCACTGTACAATGTGTGCTTTACATCTATGATAAATCTTACAATAAAGCAATAAATCTAACAAGCGAACAAAATCTCTCTAATGCATTAAAATGAAAAGAATGATATTTCACATGTTCAGAGTTTTGTCTTCAAAAAAGAACAAAGTTACCTACTTATACATACGGCACGATTACGTAGTATGCATGGTGGAAAATGTATTATCAATAACTCAGATAATAACATTATATTTCTAGTTGCAAATCATGAATAAAATGCAAATGAGCTTACAGGAGAAGTAACGCTTAGTAGAATAAGTTAGTGCAGACGATAGGCTAATCGAGCAGAGAGCCTGACTCTGCCACACACCAGTACATATACATCACGGACATTAACATGCATAGGGGAAGCACAACGCATCCTCGCATTCCAAATGAGCATTCACTCTAATACAAATACAACTGGAGCTTCTGCAACGTAAAAAAAAAGACTAAGAAAAATGCATGGGTCGTACATAAATTAATATAAATTGACGACAGAAAGTTAGCCTGAATTTCACAACTTGAAAGCGGATAGTTAAATGAATAATCTGAGATTTTCACAAAAGCAATTCCATCGACTCTTTTAAGCATTAAAATATTCGGAATAAACATCTGCTAGATTCTAGAAAATAGAGTCCGGAATCGCGGCCAAACAATAAAATGATAAATAAGTTACAAAAACTGCTTAAGAGAGAAAAACAAATATACTAAATCGGCTAACCTAAATGATCGAATTGAAAACACGTATGAAGGAAAATGATTTGAATAGAAGAATCAAAACACCAATATAATGACCCATGAGAACTGAAGAGAAAGACACAAAGGAAGTTGAAATTAACTTTTCCTGTATTTAAGAGTTTAGTGAGAGCGGAAGAAGTGATCAAACACTCCTTTTTAAACTTGAGAACTTGTTTACAATATGTAATTTAATACTTACATAGCTACGCTACCATTACCACCATTGGCATCTTCTTTGGCTAACGCCACTTGACTTGAACATTTCATGAAAAACCTGTCACATTTAAACTAAACTGTAAATATTAGTGGCAAATGGATCTTGGCTCAAAAATGAAAATCCACACTCCAAAGATGATGATAGCGTCGTGAGTAGCTTGTTTAAAATTTCTACCATACAGTGAGAAAATTTTGCACTAAATTTAGAAAAAATAGGAATCAAACTGTATGTTATTCCGAGACGATTATACTATGCGATCAATAATAATTCGATTAATGAAACGAGAACGAGTGATAAAATGATCTTTGTTACTGATAATTAAAAGTGAGCAGCACACGCACCGTGAGGTTGTTGCATGTCATTAGAAACTTGGTGAAAAAAATGACGACAAAAATAAAGGCAGGATTTGCGATGCATGTGCGCTTTGCTGACCAGTCAGTTACCAAATTATGTTAAATTGAAAATAGTTTTTGTTGCTCAACGCGTACAGCAACGTCCAGTATACTGTCACCAAAACGAGAAGGAGCCGAAGTTACAACCGATTGCAGTTTCGATGATGGTTGAGTTGGTGGCGGCATACGCTGAATCTCAGTCAAAGTTGATGCCGACTACAAAAACCTTTCTAGAGTTTGAAGTCACGTCCACAATATTCGTCATATACTTATATAACAATCGTGTTTACATTTACAAATCTTAAAACTACTAATGTATTTTTACTACACTTTTTGAACACTTCCCTACTGTACAGCATGGAACTGATTTAGATTTTAAATATCAAAACTGAGACAAGTCAAATGAACTTTTTTCTTTAATAATCATTGTGAAAATTTTTAAGTATACCAAAATCCTTATTACTTAAATTGCACAATGCAAATTATATGAAAATAGAAAATAAAGGATATCAGAACCAACCCTATTACAAACAGCATCGACATTGCCACGTATGCGCTCACGAATTGTTGCTATTTCTGTTTTAGTAGCAGCAATTTCAATTACTAGGCGACTGTATTCGGAACGTTGCTCAGGTGTCATGAGATCTGTTGGTGTTTCCACATGTCTGCTTCCGCCATCAGCATCATCATTCTTGAAATTCAAGTAGCGAAAGTCATTAAGCTTTACTAGAAGAATGTCATAGTAAAAATACTAATTTTTTTGAAAGATTAAGTGAAACTTACAATTTTAACACTACTCATCAGACGTGCTAGATCATTTTCGGCCTGATCCAAAACTGGGATACGGCTCAATAGAGTATGCATTTCCGAGAGAGCTTCATTAGGAAGGGGCTTACTGAGAAGTGCAACGTCAACAATCCCTGAAACCAGCAAAATTAGATAAATCTGTGCTGCAAATTCGTGAAAGCATTATACAGAGCAACGTGATATATGAAATATACCTTTAGCAACAGCTTGACGTAACTGACCAACAATTTGTTGCGTAGAAGCTGGCATAGTTGCATTGGTGTCTGGCACCCAAGCGCTTTCCAAAGGCGAAGGTTGGTGTTCTGCAAGAAGTTCCCAAAGTGTGGAATAAACTGGTCTCGTGCTTCTTGAAACCAGACGACTTCCCCCCCAGCCTAAATTATTCAGAGTGACTTGCAGATACATTTAATCTGCATGAGTTACCACTAGAACTACTGGTCAGACGACACTACCAAAACAATTCTGATGAAATGCCATTACCATGCTGTTCATCCATTTCATAATGAATGGAGAACCATGTTGTTAATGTCATCTAAGAAGGCTCACGTTAACCCGGAAGCAAACAAGAGACAAACCGGAATTCGATGCACCTGCAGCTGTTTCTTGCGTATTTCTTGGCCACGATAAAGCACTATTTGATGATGTTGGTGCAGCCCCCCCAGTTCCTGATCTTGAAGGTAAGATGCCCCAACCAAGCGGTACAATCACACGACTTCCTATGACAAGCAAAAGGGATATTGCACAAAATATATGCCGATAAAACCAAGAAAAGTGAAAAATTACATACCACTGTCACAATCAGGGCTTTCATGCTCTTTCCCAGCTGGAACAATCCATCGTTTAATTTCCTCTGAAAAATTTGTAGAAAAATCAAATAACTATGGAGAGCACCTTTCTTAATTATTGAAAGTTAGAAAAAAACAACAACAAACTTTGTTGTTTTTCAGGATCACCCCATACAGCGGTGCCTGTGTCCCGTTGCCACTTACGCACTTCCCCTTCAGGATCCTGCCAGACAGCATTTTCACCCATAAACTACAAAACGAAAAAATAAACAAATATAATCAGGTAAAAAAATAAGAGACAAGAATAATTACAAACCGAGTCAGACTTTGAAATTTGTGGGTAGGAATTGAAAGTGTTCGGAGGTGATGAACGGTTTACGAAATTATGACCGAATTGTGGCTTTGGTACAACTGATACAGAAGTTGCAGAAGCAGCGTTGGCTGCAGAAGGGTTCCACTGAGGCAAATTATTTGGTATCTGGAATCAAGAACTAACGAAATGATATAAGAAATCACAAAGAATAATATACACTGAATATTACATGGAATTACAAGAACTTACGTTATATTCTATATTAGGTGGAGGAAGATACATTCTATTGATCGTGTTGTTCATCGTTGGTGCTCCACCCCATATGTTTTGCAACCGACTTCTTTGGGGTGGCGGAATACTGGAAGGTGGTACTACAGGTGGCTGAATAGGTTCATTCATTGGACACTGCATCCAATTACCCATTACGGCATTATTTTCAAATGGTGGTCCAGTAAAACGCGTTGGTGGAGGAAAAAGATTAGCACGCGCTGCGTTCTGCTGCCAACCTGCAAATGTGATAATAAGAACTAGATGCCGTACAGAAACCTTGTCTCCATTTTTATGAACTTGAATTTTATGGAACTACTTTTTCTCAATATGAATAAATGAATATCTGAACCGAATAAAGAGAATGTAAAATTCAAATTCTCACCAGCAGCATAAGCAGGTGGAGGAGGAGCAGTTGGAAACGCTGGAGGACGCTGTGCTCCCCAAATTTGTTCTTCACTTGGCCATATTTTACTCTGGGACACACCACCACAAAACTGAACTGCTGTTGCTCGTAATGATTGTGGCTGGGGTGACATATCCCAAGTTTTTGGCTGCTCTAGAATCTGCCGATATTATGCCCATAATACAAATTTTTTTTATTTAGAATCTACAGTTAACAAAGTATGTAGCATAACAATAATGTATATCTTTGCATGACGAGTTTCTTAATCGCTTTACAAAAGTGCTTTCTGGCTGCTGATAGGTACTCAGTGATTGCATTGTTTAAGAGGATAGATCTAGCCTGATTAGCAAGTGTAATGTAGAAAAATTGTAACTCTAGGTCAAAACAATTTAAGAATTTAACTAGTGTAGATTTAACTATTTGATGATGAAATAAAGACTTAATTTAGTTTCGGATGTAACCAAAATGAACAATGCTCCCTCATAAAGTTTTTTTTCTTTTTGGTATCCTTCTGTTATCATGAGTAGCAAGGACAAACCTATTTCAGGTTGTGACCAACTGTTTGCTATACCGCTAGCAGGGAAAGATGGAGGGAACTGACTGGTCCCTGAAACACATAAAGTTTATGATGGAATCCTTGGCAAGAAGTAATCTCATAGAAAGAATTTCATTAGGTGACTGATGCTGACTAGCTTTAACAAATACGAATTTGCAAATGATTCGACAAAAGGCTTTGAAAGTGTATACGACTAATAAAGAAATTATAATTTCAGAAGAAGAGCATGCAATTAAAAAAACCATTTGACTGATCCTGTTCCATCGAAAACTGATTGATTGGAGTTCCTTGCCACAGACCCAAAGCATCATTGATATTTGTTTCTAAAATACAGTAAACATGAAAGCGAGAATAAAAGTCACTGTGCTTGTAATTTTTATGCTAATAATTTACAGAAACAGTATTTTTATAAACAAACTGAACTGTTACCTAATGATTTAGGCTCTTGCCAAACAACTTTGGCAGTATTATTGCGAAAAGCTGGAGGTAAAATTGATCGCATGTGCTCTTCAAATGCTGCATTACTGCTGTAATCAGTAACACCACTCCATCGATTCTAAACACATATTTTCATTATAAAGTATGAACAAACATTAAATAAAATAAATAAGGAAATGATGAAAACAACACTAATTAATAAACGGCGAAATATGAAAAATGCAGATAGTATATTTACCGAACATTCAGCTAGCTGATTGCTTGATTGTAACTTAAAGGGATTTAGACAAAAGAAACATTGATATCTAAAACATTTCTAATGCTATAAATACTTGTTGTTCAATGCTCCACGGAGTTAGCGATGCAGTTTCTGCCTGTGTATTATCTATTGGAGCCCACATAAGGCCACTTATATTTGACGTCTCTACGACCACTCGTTAATGAATAATTGTTAGTTCCTGTATAAAAAATAGAATAAATGGTGTAATCTGCAAAGAAGGATATCTTGCCGAAACGACAATAATGAATGATAAAAAATAAGATACAAAAGTAGAACAAACTCTTAATTACATGTTCACTGTGAAAATGAAATGATTATAGTCTATACATTTCAATGATTGTATAACAAAATAAAGAACCTACACAAATAACAGCACCTAAAGTTATGCACAAAAAATTACAATTTGCTATAATTTAAACGACTTACCACTACTTATCATAGTTTACCGATAACACGTAAACCACAAATAAATGCAAATGATAAAAAATGCTAAGAGTACTTAATTAATTCTTAAAATGAAAAAATAAAGAATAAATGGTTTAAAAAGTGAAACTAATTTTACACAGATAAATGTATGGATGTATGTGTAGAGTGAAGAAGAGTTTGCAAGTATAAAACAAAGACAAAGTTGAAAAAATAAAAAAAGATATAATTTAGCGGTACTTTTTGGTAATGCCTACTACCAAGTATCAATTCAAATATACATTTATATATACACAGACACATACATATATATATACACTAACACACATATACATACATGCACATACATGTACACATACAGAGTCAAGGGTCATTGCAAATATTTAGCAAGAAGTAAAAAAGAAAATAAGCGAGTAAAACTTGCTTCAACTATCTGTGCTGCTGCTTTCAAGTATCGCTGTTCATTGCCTTACCTTTAGTTGTAATATTAATAAATTAACGAACAATGTCCTTATCAATGCAATGATAAAAATGCTCTAAGTGCCAATCTCACTTTTCATCTCATCAATATACCAGCATCATAATGCACATCCCTACATCCATCTATTTTTAATCCAGTTATCCATGCATTTACTTATTTCTCCATCCATCCATCCATCTATCCAACAGTCCATCTATCTATTCATCTA